GTGTGTGTGTGTGTGTGTGTGTGTGTGTGTGTGTGTGTGTGTGTGTGTGTGTGTGTGTGTGTAGATTACACGCACTGGACGCACTGGAATCTCTGTAAACTTTCCTCAATGTGTAGTCCCTCACACGTAATACCTGCACTTTTAACATGATTTTAAAAAAACAAGGAAAACAATTAAAATATTCAAGGAAAGAGCAACGGATTTTGGAATTCATCATCGATTCAAGTTCAGTTTTATTAACGGGTATTGGGAAAAAAATGAGACACGAAAATTTAGTTTTATTCCCAAAACTTCTTTAGTACCTCTTTATAATATAAGGCCAGCCACGAGCGTAATTTTGACCTAGTTTTATTGTCAGTGAGAGTAGTAGTTTTGTAGTGGGCACGTGGCTGTGAAAGATAACTTATGATGTACATAATAATAATATTTTTTTTTGGTCCCTTGCCCATTTCTATGATACTGATGCCGTCTGGTTAGAAGAAAAATGATGCACATTCTAACCTAAATCTATGATCACAGAGTACGTCAAATGCGACAAAGAGGAAAGAGATTTTTACTTTTTCCCCGCTTCCCGTTAATCCAATCCAGCACAGACTGTCGAGCGTTATCGGTATCCGAGCATTGCAGGTTTTTAACGCAGTCTTCATAGTCGTCAAGGTCACTAGAGTTGAATCGTATGAAATGGAAAAGAAACACATATAAGGAAAGGAAATCTGGTTAACGATAAGGTGAAAAATGATGTGTCGAAGATTTTCATTAAAATGCTCATGGTGACATCTAGATCTATATCAAATTTCGTTTTGAATGAAAATGAAAAAGAACCAATTATATGAAAGGAAATTTGGTTCACAATGAGGGAAAAAAATGCATCGAAGATTTTAATTAAAATGCACATGGTAACATCTATATTGAAGCGTGTTTGTCAACATTATTTAGAGGGTGACGTATTAGAATAGTAAGAGTACAGGCAAAGCATCTTCTAAAAGAACTTTTATTTCACAAACAAAACAAAACTTTTTTTCAGAGCTGTTAGTGCTGTCTGTGAAATTGTGCGTGGGTAGTAAAGGATGCTTCTTTATTGTAATGATATCAATAAATCACATTTGAATAGCACAAATTCTCGCTCAACAGCAAACACTATGCGCTTTTCAATCTATGATTATTATTGCCCCAGCATGCCTGATAACATTATAAGACAATCCCTCTTGGGAAGCATACAGCACAAGCTGCCATTTTTATAGGCTCTAAACAATAAGCATACTGACAAGACCCTTCGTTGTGTTTAGCAGGAAGCCCATTCCCAACCTGGGTGAAGAAAAGAATTACACCCATGTAATGTAGGCCCTACCTCTCCAAAGAAAACAACGTCAGGCCAAGTATACATGTCAAACTTGTCTCTTCTTTCTTGAAAAGTAGGAGAACCCCCC